CATAATAGGAGCGTGTGTCTGTGTGTGTGTCTGTGTGTGTGTGTGTGTGTGTGTGTGTGTGTGTGTGTGTGTGTGTGCTACAGTAAAACATTAATGTCTGCTTTCACATGCATGCTCCATGACAACCAGTAAGGAGTATTTGCAAGGAGACGGACCGTGAGGATCTAGTTAGGGTTGCTTTCCTTTGCGTCAATTCTATGAGTGCCATTCACTAGCTGTAGGGCTTGGCTTCCTAAGCCATGGATGGAGGAGCAGGGATATCCGGCCCACTGTCTCAGACACCATACTGGATTCTTTTATGTTCGCTTATTTGAGACACTGTCTATACTGACCTTGAACTTTCGATCCTCTTGCCTCAGACTCAAACAGGCTGGCATTGCAGGGATGCCCCAGCGTGCTACATTCCTTTTCCGAATTTCATGTCTAATCTGTTTTTGTTTTTGTTTTTGAGGCAGGGTCTCACTATGTAGCCTTGGCTGTCCTGGAACTTACTATGTAACCGGGCTGGCCTTGAACTCACAGAGACCTACCAGCCTCTGCCTCCTGTGTGTTGGGGTTAAAGGCGTGTGCCACCACACCTGGCATCTAATCTTAGTTCTCTGTTCTCTCCAGCGACACAGAGCTTAGTATTGCCGTGATGTCAACTCTTGACTTTTCCCTGCACAGCTTTTGCACTCGATGCCATTAGCTTTATATTTGCCTCTGAGATTGTACATTTTCTCACAGACTGTCAGGAGCGTGAAACTTTGCTAAGCACTTTGCAAGTGCCAGTGTCTGCCAGTTAATTCAGATGGCCATAGAGGCGGCCTTCCCATCCGCCAGGACTGAATCACCGGGAGAGCTCCCACCTCCCCAGGGCCAACCGATTCATCAGCCAAGTAACTTTGCAAATCAGGCTGGAACGCGTAGGCTCTACGGCTCCCATTTCCTTTCCTTCCCTTCTGGCGATTTAGATGCGGATCTCTAATAACGGCTGTTTTTTGCTTTCTTCCAACATAATATGTACTTGTTACATGAAGTTCAAACTCTACAGACTTATGTAACACAAAAAGTAGGACTTTCCAGAGAAAGGCTCTCTTGACAGTTCAGTGAACTGTGTATCTCGGAGATCCCCCCATCTCCTTTTGAATATGTGTCGCTGTCTCTTTTCCAGCAATCATGCAGACCCAAGGCATTCTATTATATCAGAGGTTAATTAGTGCTCTTAGTGTTGGCATCCACAAAGCATGTTCTAAGTTGATGACATGGGTGCAAATGAGCTACTAAGAGAGAGCGATGGGACCCCCAGGGAATGATTAGGTGATTGGGCTCCAGTATTTGCCCTCACACCTGCCACCAAATCCAGATGTTGAGGCCCTGACATTTGGGGTAATTGTATCAGGATGTGGAACTGTGGGGAGGTGGTCATGAGGAAAGAGCACTCCTATTGGGGATTTGTGGCTTGATGAAGGAGGCTTCAGTGAGCTGACCTGTCCCTCCCACTGTGTGAGAACACAGCAAGAAATGCCATCTCTAAAGAGGATCCTCCCCAGAGATGAAGCTTGTTGTGCCTCGATCTTGTGCTGCCCAGTCTTTAGAACCATGAGAAATAAATTTCTGTTGTTTACAAGCCACCTGGGTGATGGCATTTCGCCACAGCAACTCAAACAAATTAAGATATAATTCTGTAGCACAGTGCATCATTATGTAAGAAAATGGGGTTGGCCATGTTTCAATAAAACTTTATTTACAAAACACAGGTGAAGAGCTGTGTTTGTCTTGAAAGCTTTATGTTGTCAATTCCTGCTGTATAAAACATCCTTGTGTGTATTTATCTGTGTCTGTTTCTGTAGGTGGTGCTGTGCGGCTCATTCTTAGAGCAGATGTGCTGGGTCACGATTTGCTTTTTATTTTGAGACAACTCCAAAAGTTGAACCAACTCAGTCTTCATTATATTAGAGTGTTTAAATTTTTTCCTTTCTTCTCTCTCTTTCTATTTCTCTCTTTCTTCTCTCTGTGTCTCTGTCTCTATTCATGTGTCTCTCTGTCTCTCTGTGTCTCTGTGTGTGTGTGTGTGTGTGTATTCATTTGTGTGTGTGTGTGTGTGTGTGTGTATTCATTTGTATGTGTGTGTACATATTCACGTGAAAGCCAGAGGTCAAGGTTGGGTGTCTTCCTTAATCTCTCTCTCTCTATTTTATTTTTTGAGATAGGATCTCTCTCTGAACCTAGAGGTCACCAATTAGGATAGGCCAGGACCAGTGAGTGCACAGTATCTGTTTATGTGGATGCTGTAATTCTAAACTCTGGTCCTCATGCTTACATGGGTAAACACTTTACTGAATGAGTCTTCTCCTCAACCCAAGATTTCCCTCCTTAAAACCTCTTTCTCATGGATATAAAACCAATGCTCATTTGAGGGCTGCTGCTATGTATGGCCATTCTCTCATTGGAGTTCTGGAGATGGGGGCTCAGTCTATAGTCTAGTCTGGCTTGACACAGGATTTCTCCTGCTCCGGCCTCTCACATGCTGGGATTGTAGGCATGAGCCACAGGACCATTCTATTATTCTTGAGCTTTGCAGAGGCAGAGAGGGTCAGAACATGAATCTAGAATGGTCTCCTCATAAAATCTTATTTTAGACTGAGGTTCACAGGGAGAGGAACCCTGGCAACCTGTTCTTATCTGGTAAGATAAAACTGTATGTTCCTTACTAAACATGGTTCAAAAAGGTCTTGATTGTTACCTACTCAAAAGTGTTTTGCAGTGCATCACCTTAGCAATTTCCTTTCTAAGCTAGGATTCCATCACTTATTGCCCTTCGGTCATAAGGGGTTTTCATGTAATGAGGTCCATCTATGCACACCAAGCTCATTACCAACTGTACAAAAAATATACATGCTCCAATTTCCCCTGTGGAGCTGACAAGCAGCAGACCCCTTGAGCAAGCAGCGTGTTTCTCCTGCCCTGTTTCACCAGGTGTTTTGGTTTTCAGATGCTGGATGGTGTTCTAGGTTTTGTGTTTCCACTTTTCTTCCCCCAACTCCCATGTCCATCATTTGGAATTCTCTATGTGAACCCCGCACGGGAGAATGGAGGCTCACTACTAGCATTCAAGCTCTGTTTGGGGCTGTGGATTTGAGCTGTTTTGTCTGATAATCAGCACCCCTCCTGGGATCTAGCCTGCCTTTGCTTGGTTCATGCTGGGTGAATCTGTGATGTTTCCCATTCTGTAGCCTTTCATTTATAACACAGGCACAGCCTGCTTCCCCATTAGTGCGATGGCACGCTTGAACTACCCACACACAAAGAATGAAGCTGAACTTGGTAAAAAGATAAATCAACCCAACCATCCCATTAGATTTGAAAGACACTAATTGAGCTTGCATTGGAATTAACGGAGAATCCTTAGGAGAGACAGAAGATGTGACAAGGGGCGGGAGAAACTACCCTGGCCATTTTTCTCAGTGAACTTGCCTCCACTGTGAGAAACAGAGGAAGTGTGCAATCTCATTTTTGTGAAGTCAGTGGACAGAAATTTAAGATCAAAATGGTGATGCATCATTTGCCATGTGTTAGGCACTGTGTGCTGAGAGCCCTACACAAATTATTTCATCTCCATCATGCATTAACTTTCAAGATAAAGTATAGTGAGAATCCCATCCACCCAGTGAGGAAAGGGAGGCACCAGAGACTTTTCCTTATGTCACAGGTACTTTTCCTGTTTGCTGTGATAAGATGCCCTGAGAAAAGCAACCTCCAAAAGTTTATTTCAGCTCATGGTTCTGGTACAGTCCATCACGGCAGAATTTAAAGCAGAAGGACTTTGAAGGAGCTGACTATATTGAGTACCAGTCAAGACACAGTAATCAATATGTTCAGCAAATTTTCTCCTTTTCCACACAGTTCAAGACCCAAGCCCAGGGGATGGTGCCACCCACAGTAGGCAGATCTTCCCACCTCAGTCAGTCTAAACAGGCGGCCTAGGAGCCAGTCTCCTGGGCGATTCTAGATCCTTTGAAGTTGACAGCTGAGATTAATAATCACCCTTGCTGCTTCAGAGCCCAAGATTCACCTCAGAATGTCTATCCTTAATTCAACCCTAGTTGCTCTCGTCTGTGTTGGATTGACCCCCTATTAGAATGTTGACCATGTCAAGAGACATTTGTGGTTGTCAGAGCTTGAAGGAAGGATGCTGCTTCTGGAATCTAGTGGGTAGAGTCCAGAGATGATGCTAAGCACCCTTCACATCACCAGACAAGCCTCTACAGTAAAAAAATTATTCATACCATGATATCAACAATACCGCTGTTGATATATTTTTGTTTGATCCTGGAGAGATGGATCAGTGGGTAAGAATGCTTGCTCTACAAGCATGAGGATTTGAATTCAATTCCCCAGCACTCATTAAAAAGCTGAGTGTGACTGAGGGTGCATGCCTGTAATCCAAGTGCTTTGGGGGGCTAGAGACAAGAGGATTATTGGAGCTTGATGGTCTAGTTCCAGGTCACTGAGAGACCCTTCATAAGGGAAAAAGGCAGAGTAAAATAGAGCAGGCCACAACATCCTCTTCTGGTCTCTGCAAGTGCACACATAGGCACGAATATGTGCACTTATAACACACACAAGAAATCCTGGCTTGTCCACTTAGCTGGACTATGGTGATGGCTTGCTGTCCCACCAGAACTCTATGCCCATGCATAGAGCTCTGTAGGTAGTGAGTCAGTGGATTGTGAGCTTATAGTCGCATATTGTGGGTGGCACAGCTATCTCAAAGAAGGGATAGCCAGGGCAAAAGTTGTTAAGTGGGAACATGGCTGACTTGGTAAGGGACAGCAGGAGCCTCCGCTGTGCTCAGGAGACTGTCCCCATGAGAAGAAGCCATGTCCCCAAAGCAACAATCGCATGTTTGCTGCTGAGCAATGTGTGAGCTAACGACCTGTGTCTTGTGCCTACCTCCCCATCCCATTACCTCACGCCTGACTTCCTCCCTGCCTGCCCTCACCCCTCTGGCTCTCTAGTGTTTGGTCACAACATGAAGAGCAGCAATGACTTCATTGGGAGGATCGTCATCGGCCAGTATTCCTCCGGCCCCTCCGAATCCAACCACTGGAGGCGGATGCTAAACACCCACCGCACTGCTGTGGGGCAGTGGCACAGTCTGAGGTCCCGGGCCGAGTGTGACCGCGTGTCTCCTGCCTCCCTGGAGGTGACCTGATTGCCACGGGGAAGACAGCCATCACTGGTTTGAAAAAAGAGAGAAAACAAAATATGTGTCACATCAATACTCAACCCACACCTACATCTACTTTCACACATGTGCACGTGCATACGCAATGCCCTGTCAGCACTGAGAGCAAGCTGACAGTTGGTCATGGAATAGCCACCCTCATTGAGGGAAGCTCGTAAAGTTCCCGGAAACTCCATTCGTGCGTAAATCACAAGTTGAGTAGGCTCTGCTGTGAGACTTACTGGCAGTGCCTGCTCTTACCCATACCCCTGTCCCAAAATGTGCTTTCAACCTCGGGCCAGAGAAAAGAGGCCTTCCGAAAAGAGTCTGACTCAGTTTACCAGGAGTTTGGCTGGTATGTCGGGGACCTGATCCCCACTTCAAAAACACCCTTGCCAGGGAACTCCTGAGCAGGCCACTGTTTCCTGGGGTCTCCACACCTGATACCTTTCTCCAAAGGTGTAAGTATCTTTGTTTTCTCCTTAGTAAATGTGATAAATAGATTAGACTCTTCGGAGAGACTGGGGGTGACAAAAGACAGTAATTCAGAGTCGGGAACCCAGGCTCGCCTGCTTTGTCCTTGTGTTAGCTTATTTCTGGGACTCCCTGTGGGTATGTGTGGGTATGTTTTTGTGTGTGTGTGCCCTCACAGGTGAGCACATGTGTGCCTCCTCATCCTGTTAGACAGCAAGGTGATGGCCAGAGGCTCCAACCTCAAAGTTCCCTTATCTCTCTGCCTTTCATCCGGTGCAAGTTCACCCCATGTCCTCCCATCCATCAGAGACCCCACATCAAGTAGCAATAGTTTGAGTGTGTCCCATAAGTAGGGTTATGATAGAGCAAAGGTAACATTTTTCTGACTGAGTTGTGGTGGTTATGACCCATAACCAGGGGTCTGGCACATGAATGTAAATGGTGCCACAGCCCTCCACCATGACCTTTCCCCTCGATCATATTCCAATGAGCTCCGTGTTTGTGTGTGCACCACAGTCGTGTCTCATGTGCTAAGGCTTTAGTGTAGTTAGAATAGATTCTTCCCTCATGGGATGCTTCTGTATCTTTCTCCACAGCATATCGTTCTCTGTCATGGGAAATTATTTGTTGAAAATTAAAGATTATTTATTTGTGCCATGCATTGGAGTTATCTCGTTTGTTCATGACATAGAAGATGGGAGAGAGTTTGGCTGCTAGTATGCATGATAAGGCAATCCAGTCAGAGCCAAGAGATAGCTCAGGGAAGTGCTTGCTGTTGGAACCCCAGTTCCCACGTAAAAAGACAGGCCCAACAAAGAATAACTGTAATCCTAGTATGGAGTACAGTGTGTGTGTGTGTGTAAGGAGCACTTACAGGAGCAGAAATGACTCAAAGACACCTGCATTACCAAAGCCCATCCCAGCATGGGTGACAGCTCATAAAAGCTGGGAACCTGGAGCACACTGCACAGCCTGAAGGCAACTCCATTGGCTTCTGCTTCTTTCAAGCAGCTGGTCTGGTCTTGGAGCTTTCTTTATAATTTAGCTTGTCTGAGAGATTCTCAGGTCTCTTTTTTGTTTACTCTTAGGAGGGAGGGGCCTAGGCAATCTGGTCAGCTCCAGGGACAAACTTCCCAGAAGGATGGAATGTTTCAATCTAGGAGGAAAAGCTGCACCACTCTGTGTGTGTGTGTGTGTGTGTGTGTGTGTGTGTGTGTGTGTGTGTGCAACCAAGTGAATCCCTGGGGCTCACTGGCGAGCCAGTCTAGTCAACCAGTGAGTCCTGAATCCAGTGAAAGACTCTATTTTAAAACAGAATATGGGAGTGATGAGTAAGAGACTCACCAGTGATCTCTGATCTCCACAACCAAACCTACATACAACACACACACACATACTCACTCACTCCCAACTACACAGAGCAGTGATGTTTATCTTGATAACAGATTTTTATTCAGTAAGATCCAGCTCAGACCCGGCAGGGATGACTCAGCTCTGCTCCCTGCACCTGAGACCTAAGCTGGAACACTTAAGGGCTAGGGCATGGAACCCTCTGAAGGCTTTCCCTCCCATGTTTGATGCTTAGTGCTGGTTGACAGCTGAGGACTTGTTCCCTATCCATGGAGGCCTTAGCACAGGCTGCCTCCACAGGGGGCTAGCTTGGGCTTCCTCACAGCATGGCAGTGGAGGTGATGGTTCTGAATACAAAATGTTTCCCAGGCTGATATGTTGAATGCTTGGTCCCAAGCTAGTGATGCCACACACTCCTGCCACTGTAGTGTTCTACCCAGGGGCCGGGCCAAGCCATCACAGACAGGATCCTCCGAAACCTCAAGATAAAGTAAGCCATTCCTCCCTTAAGACACTTTCATCAGAGCATTTTAACACAACCATAGGAAAAGTAACATTACACAGGACAAAAGGCAGAAAGGATTCTCTATGACTTCTGAGAACAGGGCACAAGAAGGACGTGTTTGCTGGGCGGTGGCGGTGGTGCACACCTTTAATCCCAGCACTCAGGAAGCAGTGGCAGATGGATTTCTGAGTTCAAGGCCAGCCTGATCTACAAGACTACACAGGAAAACCCTTGTCAAAAAAAAAAAAAAAAACAATTATGGTTTCTATCTCTACTTCTCTCTGTCACTGTCTTTCTGTCTCTCTGTCTGTCTCTGTTTCTCTCTCTACTTTTCCTTAGGAACTTCTGTATCATATGCTTTCCTCATCATTGTAACCAAAATGATGATTTTGGCTCATAGCTCAAGATTCCAGCCCATCTTGGTAGAGAAATCAAGACAACAGAAGTCTAAGGCATCACATTGCACCAGCAGTCAGGAAGCAGAGAGCATGAATGCATGCTAGTGCTCTGCCAGCTTTCTCTGTGTGGTGTAGCCTGGGACCCAAGCCCAGGGAATGAAACCACTTTCTGTGGGCAGGACTTCTCACCTGAGTTAATCCAATCAAGGTGATCACTCATAGGCACACCCTATCCCAGGGCTCCTGTCCCAGGTAATAATAGATCTCAAGAAGTTGACAACTCAGACTAACCATCATGCCTTGGTTGGAATAGTCATAAACATATGCTGTCATGAAGGGGAGGGGACATGGGGAATATCAAGAAAGAAGAAGCAGTTAGACTGTATGAAGAGCTTGTAAAGTGTGTGGTATACAGTCCACACAGTGGGGCAATCAGACTGCACATGGTCATGCTGGACCTCATTGGTACAGGCGGGGAGTGGTCCAGGCAAGAAGAACAGGTAAAACTAATGTACCAATTTGAGGACCAAGAGGTGAACCCACATGAAAAGGAAATGGTGTTTATGTTAGATGCCTTTGGTTGTCACCAACAGAAGTTCCAGCTGCAGACACAGCTGGAGCTAGGGGCTCAGCTGAGGCCCATCGGGGCTTTGTTTTTCACTTCCTCTCTTGGATTGTCTCTCCCCACTTAATGAGCATCTTGGTGACCAGTAGTCCTAACTCATCCTCCATATTGAACCCATGGCATTGTGCACTGTGAAGGCCTAGACTTGACTTGACATCTTGGGGAAGGGCCACCATCATAGACCACCTGGTGACTGGGGACTGTACTCAGTCCCAGGAAGGACATCAGGAATGTGCCATGACAACTCGAACAGATACCCTGGAAGCAGCCAATTAAGAAACAGGGCAGTAAAGTTTAACAAGATCCAGATGCTCCTGCAGACATCCTGTTGGCATTTATGGCCCTTGCAGATATACAGATAATCCTGTCAGCAGGTTGTGGTTCTGAGCCAAAAGTCTAACCCCGTAGTTTCAAATGTAGTTTTGCTGAAAGTCTAGACCAATAGTTTGAAAAATTCACCTTGCCCTATGCCCTTTTACCCAATCCCAAAAACCACCAAGGCATGTAATTCCCAGCTGTGTTTTTTTCCTTTAAAAACCCTCCAACCCCTGAGCCCAGGGTCACTGAATTTCCCTTCATCTGCAAGGTGGTGGCCCAGGTTCAAACCTGACAATAAAAAGACCTTTTTGTCCTTGCATCAGAAACCGGCTCCTTGGTGGTCTCTGGGGGTTTCGTGACACAGGTACAACATGCATGCCAGGCAACAGTTTGTATTCTACAGGCCTATCTTAAGTTTCTACTTCCTGGTCTTCCAAGGGTGAAATAACATCTCCTTCCTGTCCTCCCACATCAAGAAACTTCTGTTTATATTTAATGATAGTGATAAAAAAATTACCACTTACTGCCTGCTGTGCACTGTGATAATCCAGGTGCTAGTTAGTCCTCACAGCAACCTTTGAAATAGGATCATCTGTTATGATCCCTCCCCCCTGTTAGATGTGGAGACAGCACTCTGGACATAAAGTGTCTCTCCTCATGTCACACAGGAATATGGAGTGTGCGCATGTGTCCACCTGACTGAAGCAGAACACTATAGTCAGTTATTCTACATTGGTCATTCTCCACAAAACTTCTCATTTGTCCCAGACCAGAGTCATGGCTTAGCTTTTTATCCGTCATGCCCTGCTCAGGACTGGGCCCAGGTAAACACTACACAGACTAAAAAAGGTCTTGCCTCTCCTGGATACAAAAGGTATTTGTCTGAGTTTCTCTTCTGTTGCTCTGATAAAAACAGCATAAGGGAGAAAGGGTTTTTTAATCTTGCAGTAAAAGGACAGCTGTGATCGAGATGCCAAGGCAAGAGGAGTTTGAGAGGGTTGATCATGGCGCATCCACAGTTAAGCAGAGAGCAATGCATGCTCAGCTCACTCTCTGTACAGTCCAAGATGTCCTGCCCAGGATGGCCCAGGCCACATTTAAGAAGTGTTTCCCACATCAATGTAATCAAGGCAATCTCACACAGGTATGCCCAAAAGTCCATCTTCCAAATGATTCTAGATTCTGTCAAGTTGACAACTAAACACGAGCCATTACAGGGATGAAGAAATCTGTGATGATGTGTTGCTGGTGTCACTGTTTCTGATATTCCATAGCAGAAGTCACAGGGTTGAAGGCTGAGTTCTTGAGAGAGAAAAGTAGAGATGATGTTTTCCTTTTCTACACAACACCTTCCTTTCTGGGCCTGGACAGAAGAGAACAGAAGAAAAAAAAAAAAAGGCAAACATGAAAGAGAGGTGGATAACGGGCCTGAGAGACACGATAGACAATGGTCAAGCTCATGGTCTCTAGAACCAAAGAAACCATAGCCCAAATCCTGGGCCCAGTCAGACATGATCCAGGCAACGCCTCCAGCTTCCGTTTTCCTGCAGTCTTAGTTAGGGTCCCTCAAAAGCAAATTCAAGGAGGCAACTTGGAAGTAAGTGATTTACTGGAGAGACAGCCCCGAGAAACCTAAGTTAAAGAAAAAGGATAAAGGACAGATAAAGACTGCCTGTATCAACACTGGGGACAGCAGGAGCTCGGAGTTATTATTGTAGAAGATTTAAGTACTGAGCCTTCTCCCTCGGGTTGTTCCTGAAAGTGTATAGTGTTTGATACTTCAGGACTGCGCTGTGTGGGTGGAGCAAGCTCCTGCAGCAGCAGAGGAAACTCCTGGGCAAAGAGAGACATGCATGGGCTTGATGGGGTGGACTGTGCACATGCACACCCTGGCCCACTGTAACCACTGAGGAGCTCAGCTGGGCTGCAGATAGGAGATCAGGCAGCCCCAGCCTCTGCTGGCCTCCTCAGTAATAACAAGAGGGCTCACAGTGTGAAGTACCAGACTTCTCCCCACTCCTGCAGCAGGGGCAATGCTCTTCTGTCAAAGTTCAATGAAGCAAGTAGTGATGCTGGAAGGCCAGCTCAGGTGCACTCACCATATAAGCCTGGCGATGACCCAAGTTTGATCTCTGGAACCCACATAAAGAACCAAATGTGCTGGTACCTATCTACCATCCCAGTACTCTTAAGAGAATCTGCTGGGAGCTCACAGGCCACCTAGCCTGGTGTACGAAGTACAGTGCCTCAGGAAACAAGGTGGAGGGAGAGAACTGACTCCCCAGAAGCTGGCCAGCCTCCACATGAGTGTGGTTGCATCCATGCACCTGCACTCTAATACACAAAGTAAATAAATAATAAACATTCTTCTCAATTTACATCTGTGTCTTAGTCACTGTTCTATTGCTGGGAAGTGACCCCGTGACCAAGGCAACTATTATAAAAGAGAGCATTTAATGGAGAATTTACTTAGAGTCTCAGAAGTTTAATCCATTATCATGGCAGAAAGCATGGCAAGCATGCAGGCAGATGATGGAACAGTAGCTGAGAACTATATCCTGATCCATAGGCAGAGAGAGAGAGAGACTCTGGGCTTGGCATGGACTTCTGAAACTTCAAAGTCCACCCCCAGTGACAACCTTCCTCTAAAAGGCTACACCTATTAATCCTTCTAATCCTTTCAAATAGTACCATTCCCTGGTGACTAAGCTTTCAAATATATGAGCCTATGGGGTCCATTCTTATTCAAACCACCACAGTCTGCATTAGATGCACACATATTTCTTTTCTCATCATCACTCCCCATATGATGACATGCAACAGCTGTATCAGTAGCACGGCTGGCCAGCGCACTGGGTATTGTAAGCAGTCTAAGATGATGCAGTCTTCAGAGAGCATGCCGTATAAGACATGTTAGGGTTAGGGTTAGGTTAGTTCTATGTAAACACTGCACCATCTTATGAAAGACACTTGAGTATCTGTTGTTTTCAGTATCTCTGGGTGTCCTGGAACTCATCCCCCTCAGACATCTGTAATCCAGAGTAGGCGTGGCCAACTGCCCCCCGCTGGTCTGTTTTGTCTGACAATCAGTAACAACCCCAAGAGATATATGTAAGGACATGCTGGAATCAAGCTGGCAGAGTCCTCACTTGAGTCTTGGCACAGCACCCAGTGGCTATTATTACCTGGCATGCATCAGACAGCTTTTGCTGGGGACAAGAAGGAACATTGGCAGCCCAGATCAGAGCCATCCACATCTCCAGGAATAGAGTTTGTCAGGAGACAGAGAGATGTGTTGAAAGGTGAAAGGAGGATTGAGTTTCTATAGAAACCAGAGCCCAAGGTGCCCTGCTTTGGACTACCCATTGTTTTAATTAGCATCCTCCTCCTCCTCAGGTAGGAGGTGGGAAAGAAATGCCTGGACCACTTCACCACTCGGTGTGGTGTGGGACCCAAGTTAAAAGAATAAAGGTGGGTGGGGACCAGTAGCGGAGAGTTTTAAAGATACTTCCATTTCTCCAGTTCTCTTGAGTATTCTCATCTCTGGGAAGAGAAGGCATTCCCTTCTTCCTCCTCCGCTGCAGCTCTGAGCTCAGGCCAACTTCAGAACATCTTGGGACTTCAACCACACCCCCAGACTTGACACAAACTACAGACCTTTGCCCTGCCTGCACTGAACGAACAGTCCCATCTAGGGCACCAAGACCAGCCTCCCATCTGAGGCACTGGCATTTTTCTCTTATCAAACCACGAAGAACTGCAAGGCAGAAGCATCACTTTCCTTTCTGGGTATCCCATTGTCCACTTCTAGTGGGATAACTACCCTTCATTATGTCCAAAAACTCCAAGTAGAAATTATTCCAGCGGGGTTGGTAGGTAAAAACCTAATAGTTCACACCTAGAAGAAAATGTTGGAATGCAATGCCTTAGAGGTTCAAAGTGGCTAACCTTCAGAGAGCATGTTAGCTTTTCATCACTATAACAAAGCACCTGAGGCAGGGAAAATGTGAAAGATCAAAGTGGGCCACTGTTTGAAATCTGCTGAGGGCAGTGGATGGAGTCACATCTTGGTGAGAGTGTTGTAACCAGAAAGCAGAAAAAGAGGGAGGGTGCTGGTGGGCTCATCTCATAATCCTTGTGAGTTCCCACATGAATGGCCCTAACCTTTTCCAAGGACAATGTCCATGGTGACCTCCCATTAGGACCAACCTCTTAAAGGCTCAACCATTTCCCAATACTGCCACTCTGATTCATCATAGGGACTTTTGGGGTACATTCAAGCCATATCCAGACCACACCAGCTCCTTTAGTTCCCAACTTTAGGTCATCTTATCCAGGATTATTTGAGGTTCCAGATTGTGGGTGTTTCTCATGTGCCAAGCATTTTCTTTTTTTTTTTTTTTTTTTTTGGTTTTTCGAGACAGGGTTTCTCTGTGTAGCTTTGTGCCTTTCCTGGAACTCACTTGGTAGCCCAGGCTGGCCTCGAACTCACAGAGATCCTCCTGCCTCTGCCTCCCGAGTGCTGGGATTAAAGGCGTGCGCCACCACCGCCCGGCTTGCCAAGCATTTTCTAAGTACTTGCATGGGAGAAGTATCAGTTTGCTCATATTTTGTAGGCAAGAAAGCTGAGGCTTAGAGAGATGTACTAATTGGTATCTAATCACACAGCAGCAAGTCTAGAACATGAAAACATCTCTCTCATAAATTTACAAAATGAAAATTAGCATTGAATCCTCTTTTATAATGGTTGAGGATATAGGGATTTAGCTACTAACTAAGCAATATTTTAAAATGTTCGTTTTTGTGTGTGTATATGTTTGTATGCAGGTATATGTATGAACAAGCAGAGACCAGAAGAGGACACCAGGTGTCCCCCTCCATCACTCTCCACCTATTCCTTTGAGATAGGTCTCTCTCTGAACCTGAAGCTCCTGTTTTCTTGGTTAAATTGGAAACCAGAAGCCCCAGCAATCTTTTTGTCTCTGGCTTCCTTGAAGCTGCAGTTACCAGAATATTCGAAGACATCCAGCTTGCTACTTGGATCCAAATTCTCCTCCTTATGATTGCATACCAAATGCTCTTAACCTCTGAACCATATCTCCAGCCTCATAAAGAACATTTTAAAAGCTAAAACCTTATGAGAGAGACATATGATAGATAGATAGATAGATAGATAGATAGATAGATAGATAGATAGATAGATAGATGATCATTGGTAGATGGTTTAGACAGATCTTAACTGACTTGCCCAGCCTCCCATAAACACATGTATAGAGGAGGGAAAACAGAGTATCATTCAGTAAATGTCATTTTAAGAAATTAGAAAATATACAGAGAGAGAGAGAGAGAGAGAGAGAGAGAGAGAAACTACAAAGAGGTCTTTACACTCTCCAGCTGACAGCAAACACACTTGTGAAAAAAAATCATTCATTTTTTGTCTCTAAACTTGAGACTTAGGTCATGAGTTGGCCCAACCCGTTGCCTGTCTTTATAAATAAAGTTTTATTGAAATACTTCCAGGCCTATTCCTGGATCTCTGGTAGAGCTGAATAGTGATAGATTAGCAAAGCCTACAAAGCCTAAAAAATGTACTCTTTCTTTACAGAAAAGTTCTATACCCCTGTCTAGAGCAATATTCTGTAAACTTTAATGAACACACAAGCCACTAGGGAACAGTAAACCAAGAGCAGTTTCTGGTTCAGTAGCTCCTGGCATGGCCCAAGACTGCAATTCTGATGCACTTCCACAGGCCACACCTCAACTGAGCAAAGGACACATTCAGAGAGGGGACAGAACTGATCAACAACAGCACTCAGACACCACATTACAGGACAGGTGACTATAGGTGGGGATTCAGCAAGATCTGTCTAAAATCTTCTATCTATCTGTCTGTCTGTCTACCTACCCACCTACCTACCTACCTACCTACCTTTCTTTCTATCTATCTTTCTTTCTATCTATCTATCTATCTATCTATCTATCTATCTATCTATCTATCTATCTATCTATCTATCTACCTACCTACCTACCTATCTGCCTACCTGCCATCTAGCTATATGTCATCCATCTGTCATCATCTATCATCTATCTCTCTATCATCTATAAACTATCTATCTACCTACCATCTCTCCTCCTTGCACAAGAATTTCCAGAGGCCTCTTTTGGATTATTTCTCTATCTCCCATCTAGAACATTCATACTCAGAAGGACATTTCTGTGATTGAAATGTTTGTCCCCCACCAAAATCCATATTGAATGTTTTTAATGTGAGGTGTTTGGGGCTCATAAAGAGTGGATTAAGGTGTTTATCTCTGGAGTTCGTCTCCTCTTCTGCCCCTTTCTCTCTCTCCTCCTTTCCCTCTCTCCCTCCCTCCCACCCATGATGCTGTAGCAAGAAGATGCAGATTCCCTGATACTGAATTTTACAACCTTGAAACTGAAAACAAATCATCTCTTTCATTGTAAATTATCCAGTCTCAAGTATTTTGTTATCACATCAAACATGGAGTAGGGCAGATGTGTTTGGGTTCCTGGTATCCCCAAATCACATAGCATCAGGGGCCTCTCTATTTCTACTCACAGGATAATAACACTGAAGAGAAAATGACTACTTTATATTTTTAAGTCCCCTCACTAGTGTCAGGTTAGGGTGTTTGGAGCAGAGAGACTAGTGTGGGAAGTTATAATAGTTACCTTCGCTCATTGCTATGAGAAACCTGATGCAGACACTCAAGGAAGGAAGGGTTTGCTTGGGCTCACAGCTTTGAGGGTATAGTCCACGATGCCAGGGAACACGTGGTGGAGAGAATGGCTCCAGCTGGAAGGGAAGGCAGGTGGGCAACTGGTCATATTGCGTCCACAGACAAGAAGCAAAGCGAGAGGAATACTGATGCCAGACTGGCTTCCTCCTCTTCTCTTCTTTTCAGTCTGGGACTCTAGTCCATGGATGGTGTGCCCACATTCAGGCCGGGTCATCCCTCTTCAGGTAAATGTCTCTGGAAACACACAGACACACTCAGACATGTGTCTCCTGAGTAGTTTCACATCCAATCAAGTCAGTGATGAAGACTGACAGTCACACATTAAAATTTACATTCACAGTAAGGTCAGCACTCTTATGAGCATGTACTAAACGTTCACCACTTCTGAATAAACATACGTGCCTTGGCAGCTGCCCTAACACAATGGTCTGGAGACAACCAGTGTGCTCCAGACTTGCTGTAAACTGGAGTTGGGCCTGAGTTGAGCCTGTATGCTGAGTCATGCCTTGGCAGACTTCGGTGCCAACGCCAGTGGGGCAAAGCATGCTGTGTGGGTGAGAGCTAAGTTGTTCCTCACAAGCACAGCAGTGAGGGATCCAGAGGGAAAGTGAGTGACTAGGAAACCAAGTTGACATATTCCCATTACTCACGAATGCCAGTTACGTGAAGTGTCAGAGCGCTCCCCCCCGAGCATTTTGGGGGAGGATAAGGGACACACAAGATGGAGAGGGTGCAGCTGGTGCCAGGGTAAGTCTTTCCTGAGATCAAGCTCAGTAATGGCAACCTGTGCTGTTATTTAGTGAGCATCTTCTACTGGCAAGCATCCATGCTAAAAAGAATAAACACCTGGCTGTGGTGGTGCACACCTGTCCTCCCTACACAGGAGAGGCTGACACAGAAGGACCATGAATTTCAGGCCAGGCAGGGCTATATAGTGAGATCTTGTCTCAAAATTCCAAGGGGGGAAAATGGTGTAAGCAAAGGAATAAATTTTACTCAATCTCTTGGAGATATTTACTATTTATTATTAATTAGATGGAGGGAGAAACTGAGACCCAGCTAGGCAAAGTGGCTTGCCCAAGCACACACAGGACAGAAGGGACAGCGATTCTTGTTTGCACAAATGGGAGTTCTTGGGCAGGGTTATGGCTCACCTGGGAAAGTGCTTTGCTTCCCAAGCATGAGGACCTGGATTTGAATCTCCACACCCATGTACAAAGCTGTGTGCCGCCACACAGATCAGTAGCCCAGGGCTGATGAGAGAAGAATCCTTAAAGCTCATTGGCCAGCCAGTCTAGCGGAACCGATGAGCTCCAGGTTTAGCGAGAGACCCTGCCTCTAAAAGTCAAGTAAGTGGAGAGCCATTAAAGAAGACTTTTGACACCAACCTCAGGCTTCCACATGCACAGTCCACATGAACACACATATATATGCAAAATGGAAAAAATAGGCACCCTCCTATATGCAGTGAAATCCCTAGAAAAACACCAGTGGGTTTTAAGACATTTAAGAATGAACAAACAATACAGTAGAGCTAGGCTCACAGGATGACCATTGTGACGTTTGTAACTCATTGTGTGGCTCTTCTTCTACAGATGCCTCCTTTAACCGTGCAAGCAGCTAAAGAGACCTTGTGGGCTTTAACATCAGCCTAGTGGACAGGACCTCAGTAAACCTGAGTTCATAGAGCCCTCCTGATGTGGGTGCCCTCTTCACCTCTGGGCGGTGATTCTGCTGCAGAAATGGGGGCTGAGTCTTGTCCAGTTTTCAGATTTGCAGCAGGAGTAAGAAATCATCCCTTAGTAAAAAACAAACAAACAACAACAAAAAACCCAAAACTCCTAATTATTATAACCTGACCTCAATGTGGTGTGTGTGTGTGTGTGTGTGTGTGTGTGTGTGTGTGTGTGTGTGTGTGTGTGTGTGTGAAGTATGCTGCTTGGAAATCAGGAAAACTTGCAGAAATCAATTCTTCCTTCTATCTTGTGTGTCCACGCATGTCTCAGGTCATCAGGCTTGGTGACATGTGCTGAGCCAGCCCTGTTTTTATAATGATCTTAAGGCATTATGTGGACCACACAAATCACCTCCAAGGCTCCAGGGCCTTCTGTAATCAACCTTGACTTGCATTTTTACCTTTTGAGAGGTATTCACTCAAGAGGATGGAGTTGGTTGGTGGCCTCGGACAGGCTGGAACACCGGCCACTTCGTGATCCTGTCTGACAGAGGCAGAAACTGAGGCTCAAAGAAGAGGTGACGGGCTGAGAGCTGGGAACTCAGGTGGCTTAGGGGTTCCCAGGGGGCTGGAGCACGGCTTTGCTCTTAGTTGTCATTCTGCATTGTGTTCAGTGATGCAGAGGCTTGGGAGAGGGGCAGGAGGAGGAGGGGCTGGGGTCCATCCCATCTGCCCTAGCTGCTGGAGGCCTGAACCTAGAGGAGCCATCAGAAACCCAAGCTGTGTGCTGCTCTGCTCCAGCCAGAGGCAGCTCCCTCTGGGCTCAGCATGCAGAAGTGCGGACTGTGGGCTGTGGCCTTCCTGGCCCTCCTGTCTGCACGGGCCTTTCCACACACCGACATCAGTATCCACTCAGGTGAGCACAGGGGCCAGGGACAAGGACAGGTTGGGGGAAGTCACTTCCAGGGACTTGAGGGCCCACTAGAGAGGCCAGCTGCTTGGACTGTGGGAATTCTGAGGGGGAGTGTTGGGGGACTAAGATGACCCTCCTATAGCTAGGCCCCTAATGAGGAAGCATCCCTCGTCCCTTAAAGGGTAAATCTCAGTTTTGCAGTTTACAAGCTGTTAACCTGGGAAACTGACTTACTTCCTCTATCCTTCTCTCTCCCTCTCTCCCTCCCTCCTTTTAAATTTTAGTTATTCTGTCATTTATTTTTGAGACAAGATCTTGCTATTATCTCAGGCTGGTCTTGAAATCTCAATCCTCCTGCTTCCTGCTCCAGAGTGCCAGAAAGTGGTGTGTGTGTGTGTGTGTGTGTGTGTCATAAGATCACCTCCTCCAGGCTGTGGAGAAAGTGCTTAGCACTGTACCTGACACCGTGAGGAAAAGGAAAATAGTATTTTTGTTAGAAATCTGACATCTAGAACCCTTCCCCGACTCCAACCTTGGCAATGCCAACCATCCCCAGGGATCTTTCCAATTCAGATGTACTGGAGGTGGACGGGCAGGATGGACACAGTTGCCCCTCTTCTGGTCTCCCTGGCAGCCTGGCTCCAGTGATATCCATCCCTGTGGGCTTTGTGGGATGTCCCCAGGAAACGGGACTCATCAACCCCAGGCACGTGACCTCCCTATATGCCATTTGGGGGATGAGGGGCAGTCATTGAGTTTGAATTCTTCCATATTTCAAAGCAGCGGCTGGGGCAATAACACCAGGCAACTGCTCTCAGGTTGGGAGGCAGCCTGCATCTCCTTGTGCCCGTGTGCCCGAGGCCCTGACCTGAAACCTCCACCAAGTTCTTTTCAAGCATTGTTTGAAAGACCCCCTAGCTCCAGGAGCAGTGGTACATGTTCGGATGGCTGAGGCAAGAGGGTAGAAAGTTCAAAGCCTGAATGGATTACAAAAGAAGTGACAGGCTGGACTGTGGTACCTATGTGATGCCATCTTAGATACATACATGCATATGTATGTGTATATATGTGTACACACAAATACCTCATTTGTGAGGGAAGACTCACAAATCTCTTACTGTTATCAACATAGTTCTGAGTACTTTTCATCACAAGTTTATGTGATCTTTACAGTAACCCTGTGGTGGAGACCCATCACTTTCATCCCCGTTTAAGTGAAACCTGTTATGAAATCTCCAGGTGGAGATTGTCAATAGGCCAGTTATTTGGCTGTCGCAGATTGGGGGGCTCTGAGTTACCAGATAAAGCATCAGTACATAGATATCAGTAAATCCTTTGTTAGTCTAAGTGTACCTCAGCTATTGCATGGACAAACTTATACTAAAAATTACTTGTTATTTATCTGAAATTCTGATTTACTAACCACTCTTCTGTTTATTTGTTTGGCAACCCCCCGGTAAGGAGGCGGGCAGCCTCGGCTCACCTGGCCAAGCCTGGGAGCTTCGCTTCTACTCAAGCTCTCTATGTGCATTAGTCAGCTCAGGCTGTCACGGCAGAATCCATAGACTGGGGCCTGAGACTGCAGAAACTTGTCTCTCAGCCTGTGGCTGGCAGTGCTTGTTTTACAAGCAGAGGAGCTGAGGTTTATCCCTAATGCCAAATAAAAAGCCTGGCACCACGGTGTGCCTGTACTCACAGAGCTGGGGAAGCAGAGACAGGAGGATGCCTGAGACTTGCTGGTCAGCCAGCCTTGCTGAATCAATGAGCTGCAGTTCCAAAAAAGACCCTGCTTCCAAAAAACAAGATGGAGAGTGAGAGGTAGAAACCCAACTTCAATCGCATATACACCCAAATCCACTTTGCACCCACACAAGAACATATCCACTACACACATGCTTAACTGCACATATGTACATACACACACACACACACACACACACACACACACACACACACACACACACGAGCGCACACACACATGTGTGGGGATAATAATGAAGCAACAGTGCACATAAGGTGCTAACCACATGACAAGCATTTGGAAAAAAAAACAGCATTTTTCTTTCAACACCCCTGTCGTTGTGGTAGTTGGTATTACAATGTCACAGGCAGGAGAGTTTCATTGTGACAAACAGGATTCATCAGAGATGGAAACTTCCAGAGAACACATCTGTCCCCATGTGCCACCCTCTTTTACACAAGGTGAACCAGGATCACTTGAGACCCGGCAATCTTGGAGACCTCTGACCACCCGACGCTTCCTTACTGCAGCAGGGAAACTGAGGCTGCAGACTGCTGACCAGGACCATCACTGCTCACACAGCACTTACTGCGTTCCCCAGACTCCCCACCCAGCAGATGAGGACTCTAGGAAAATGATATCAGCCCAGAGAGACTGTGACACACAAGCATGAGAGAATGCGTTGCCGGTTGACTAGCGTGGACTTAGTAGGGGCCCTGTGGTTCCTTGCAGACCTTGAGGGTGGATATGCACCCCAAAGTCCTCTTGTGTTAAATGACCTTGATTTCTTTCTCTTCTGGATACCCCCCAGCTATGCAGTACAGGGCACCCATCAGCCATTCTCCCATGGCTCCTGCCTTTCATTATCCATTCCCCAAGCATGCCGATCTATGCACAGATCCACTCAGCATCGGTCCCGGATTTTCTTGGAGAAAATATCCTTCATACTTGCCTGGGAGGACCTAGCCAAACTAGACTTTCCCCCAAGCCTTTCCTCTGAAATTACCTTTGATCTCATTGTTTCTGTGGATTCCAGCAAGTGAAGTACTTAGAGACAGCACCTAATAGCAGTAACAAAGATAATTGCTATTAGAATTCTTCAGCCATTGCTGGTTCCTTCCCCCAGCTCCTGAACCCAGAGCTTTCCATGTGACACCAGGGCAAAGTGATTTGAAACTCAACACCTGCCTCTGCAGGGCCTCTGGGTACAGATTGGGGATCAGTCAAGCTGCTCAACCTTCTCCCCACCCTCCAGAAATACAGCATTGCATTCTTGGCTGTGGGAAGGTTCTGGGGCCCAGACCACTTCTGCTGTGGTAATGCTTGAAGTCTATTAGGATGCTCACTCTGCCTAGTCATCTTCTCAGGGAAATAAGTACTCAGCCAAGCCCATTGTGTCCATGTGTGCGCGCACACGAGCGCGTCGAATGTTGTGTAGAGACCAGAGACTGACGTTTGGTGTCTTCCTCGGTTGCTCTCTGCCTTTATCTTTGGAGGCAGGGTCTCTCACTATCCTGAAGTTCACTGATTCAGCTAGGCTAGTTGGCTAATGAGTTTCAGGGACCTGCCCATCTCTAACTCCCCGGCAATGAGATCAAAGTCACATCACTGTGTCGAACTGTTCACATGGGTACTGGGGATCTGAATAGCTCTGGTCCTCATGCTCACACAGCTGGCACTTGACCCACTGAGCCACCTCCCCAGACTCACCCATGCACATTTTGCAGATGAAAACTGAGGCCCAGGGAGCTGTTTTCAACCAGGGTCATCTGGTGCCAGAGTCCAAGCTTCTCCGCTAGGGCACAGAAGCCCAAGCAACTGGATGTCCTGCCTCCTAGAGTAGATCCAATCCTGGAGCGTGCCTCAGACACTCTGGCTGTTCCTGCTCCTCCTCTGTAGTCACAGGACACCCTACACATACTTTGGAGCACTCCTTAGCATTCGATAACTAATACCATGTGGGAACAGCCTGAGGTCACACACTTAGGAACATATAGGAACTCAGTGAATGCTGATGTCTTTAATTAAATCTTGGTTAAACTTGGTGTCTAACATACTGTGGTCCCTCAGCCATCTGCAGGGGATTGGTTCCAGAATTCCCATGGATGCCAAAATCCTCAGATGCTGGGTCCCTGCTGTAGAAGGGTGCAGTGGCTGCATCTTACCAATGCCCATTTCCTGTGTTCTGGGGTGCATTGTGTAGAGAAGGATGACGGGAAAGAAAAACTGTGTAACCCCCAGTTATGGCACTTAGGAATCTTAGACAGGAGAATCTTAAATCCAGGGCCAGACTCAGCTACAGAGTGAGACCCTATCTCAAAACACCAAAAGCCGGGGCCTGGGTAGAGTGTTTGTCTAGCACATGCAAATTCCCAGGCAGGATTCCCAGCACCCAGAAGTCTGTGTTCAGCACAGGTGCAGTGCCTCCCAGATGCTTTCTCTCCACTATTGGTTCAAGTCATGGACCAGAGCCTGTAGGTGTGAAGGCCAACTATACTTATTCTGCCAATGAGCCACGGAACCATGAGCATGAACACGTCTCCCAGCAGCACTAAAGTGCTTAGGAGTTTCAGAGAGTTACAAACCCAACTGCCAGGAGCAGGTGGCAGCCTCTCCAATCCTTGTCTAATATCACTGCTGGGCTGCCCTCCAGGAATCAAACCTTAAACACCCAGTGAGTGGTGCCTGTTGGGATCCATCTAAGCAATGGTTTTGGGGCTTTTCTTCCCCTCTGAGGCCTCCAGAGTATCCCAGAGAGGAAAAGGCAGAGCTCGAGTCGGAAAGAGCAAGGCTCTGGAGTGCCGCCAAGCCTTGAGACCAGACAGGCAACCGGAGGATGATAACGGTGGTCCAGCCCTCGACCTTGCTCGAGTCTGGAAGACACTTACTTCCCTTTAGCTTCTAGGTGTATCGGGGGCCACTGTGGGAATGGGGAATGGGAATGGGAATGGGGAATGGGAATGGGAATGGGGAATGGTGGCCTCAGGGGGCCTCCCCACCTCCTCTCCTTATCGGGTCCCGAGGCTGCTCTGGGCAGGAGGCGGCGGAGATCTCAGAGCAGTGAGTGCATCTGCAGGAGGCAGCAGAGAGCAGAGTGTTGCATCTGTGGGCGGCTGGAGGGGGGCCAAGGGAGCTCACAGCCAGAGTGAGTGGGAAGGTGACAATTTATTCTTTCAAAGTGGGAGAGCTGGATTCCACGGATGTGTTTTCATCCCAGAACAAGCTCAGCTCCCAAAAGCTTTGACTCCCCCCACACCCCCAGCTGGGAGGCCTTGGCTGCTGCTAATTGAGAAAAAGACCATGCAGTTTGGCTTCTCCGTTTCCTGAGCAACAAGCCTCCTCCTCCTGCCCTGCACCTCCTGTCTGACTCTCTCCCTCTATCCCCCATAGCTCCCTCCAGCCTCATCTTGGATTCCTTCTGATTCTTAGCCCTGTTGAACCTGCCCCTCCCCCCCCCCCCCCCCCCCCCCCCCCCCCCCCCCCGATACTCCATCTTCTCCCTGGGCCGTGCCCCCTGCCTGGGCCGTGGCCCCTGCCTGGGCTGTGCCCCCTTGCCGGGAACACTGACTCTAGCATCTCCAGGTCTCTACCGATTCATCACCTTTTCCAGGAAGCCCCTCAGATCTTCAAGTCTGACTTGTGTGCTGTGTTTAGATACTTCAGGGACAGCCCTTGCCATCCATCACCCGTCTGGGCGCCCCTTGTGCTGCGCTGTCCTAACTACTCGTGAGGCCCTTTCTGGCAGGGATCAGAGAGCCATTAATTCTTTTTCTCAAAGGGGCAAACAAATAACAAGTTTCCAATTTTGCCTGCGAGACTCACGTCCACAAGTTAAATATTAATGACATCATTATTTCTGTGCTCTCTCTCTTAAAAAAAAAAAAATCTCAGGCTCCAGAGGCTGCCTCTGAGCAATTCTGTGACCTTTGACAAGGGAGTCAATCCCGGTGTGTTCTGAGTTTCTTTGTAAAGTAGTAGTGATTACAGTGCCTCCTGGAAGGATGTGAAGATTAAATTAAGTCCGTTCAAAGCACTTAGCACAGTGCCTGGCACACAGCACGTGGTCAGCAAAGGTTGGTTCTGGTTATTGCTTTACCACCATTTTCTGAAGGTCACTATACAAACCCAACGGCGTGCCCATAAAGACAGACAGGCTAGCGAAGGCTGGTTAGCAGTCCAGTTGATGAAAACCCTTCCAACCCCAGCTCCTAAGCCCTCAGAGGCAAGGAGAAGGGAAACACCGGCCATCTGGGAGTTCACTCTTGTGCCTCCCAACCCTCCAATTAAAGGATTTTGCTTGCCTGGACGGGAGGAAAGGAATTGGGCAGTGACCCACCACAGTCCCATTTTCTGGTTTACTTCAACCCAGGCATGCAGAAATTCCTTTTTCCTTAGTGAGGGAAAAACCTCAAAGGGACCAGATTGGGAAGACGCAGAGTAGTTTCGGAAGTATTTTCCACCTTGGGGAGGAAGGTTTTGAGACCAGGGGCTTTTACCTCCTCCTCTTCCCACCCAGTCACCCTTCACTTAATTAATTATTAATTACTCTTTGCCAAGCTCTGTCCAAGCAGGAAGAAAGGGGAGAAAGAGAGAATGGCAAGAGGAATGAAGGAAAGGAGAAGATAAAGGTACAGAGCAGAGGAGAGAAGGAAAGGGAGGAGGGGAAGAGGAGAGGAGAGGGGAAGGGAGGGGAGGGGAGGGGAGGGGAGGGGGGGAGGGAAGGGGGCATGGGAAGGGAGGGGAGGGGAGGAGAGGAGAGGAGAGGAGGGGAAAGGGGGGAAGGAGGAGGGGCAGGAGAAGGAAGTTCCTTCTGCAGGCTTCATCTTCCTACTTACAGGCTTACATTGCATACCTACTTGCTTGTGTTCACTCGGAACCTGGACTAGAGGGATGGCACAGAAGCTAATCTTAGGGCTCCTTCAGAGGACCCCAGTTCAGTTCCCACCTCAGCACACACATCAGGTGGCTCACAACTGCCTGTAACTCCAGCTCTAGGGGATCCAATACCTTTTTCTGGCCACCAAGGACACTGCACTCACATGCATGTAACCACCCCCATAATTAAAAATAAAATAAAATGCTTAAATCTAAGTCCCATGCACCCTCTGTGTGCCAAGATTCTGGGAGAAGATGAGTGGTCGCAGTAGCTATTGACCAAACAGGGGCGACATGGACAAGAATCCTGGGAGTACGTGGGAGTCGGGGTGCATAAGCACTTACCAGAGATTCCCATCTGATGGACCTGTACAGGCTGGTCTTATGTCAACTTGATACACAAACTAGGGTTATCTGAAAGGAGGAAACCTCAACTAAGAAAATACCTCCATAAGATCTGACTGGAAGGCCTTATCTTAATTAGTGATTGAGGGAGGAGGGCCCAGCCCATTGGGGGTGATACCATGCCTAGGTTAGTGGTCCTGGGTTCTATAAGAAAGCAAACTGAGCAAGCCACAAGGAGCAAGCCAGTTAGCAGCACCCCTCTATGGCCTCTGCACCAGCTCCTGCCTCCAGGATCCTGTCCTGTTTGAGTTCTTGTCCTGACTTCCTTTGGTGATGAACAGCAATGTAGAAGTGTGAGCCTATGAAAGCCTTTCCTCCCCAATTGCTTTTTGTCATGGAGTTCCATCACAGCAGCAGAAACTCTGACTAAGACAGTACCCATAAGCCACCTTGCAGGTGAGGCTAGAAGAGAAGCAGGAATTAGCCAGAGCCAAGGCAAGAGAATGCCCACAAAGGTCTGATTAGGCATTTGAGAATGGTTGATGAGTTAACCTGGATGAAAGCAGAAGGCATGAACTCCGGGGACCTGCCATGAGCCAACCTCAGCCTGCTTATGTCCCATGAGGAGGCGGTATGTGATGCTGTAAAGGAAGTCTTTGTGATCCGGAGGTCGCTAAAACACTTTCTTGCCATGCTGATCTTATTGAAGTCTCACTTTCTCTCTGTCTGTTTTCACATCATAAATGCTCCATGGGGGCTAGAGAGATAGCTCAGGCTAGAAATGATTCCACTGAAAGCATGAGGATCTGAGTTCGATCCCCCGAGAGACCCCATTTAAGCA